CCCAGCCTAAATAACAATTTCATTTGGGTTGCAGTGTGGAGAATGCAGTGGGGTATAAAGACAGAAGGCAGCAGTGCATCTAGGAGGCTGGGTGACAGCTGATCTGGCTGGCCCAGGGTGGTGGCAGTGGAGGTGGGGAGAAGTGTTCAGATTCTGGGTATGTTTGAAGGTGAGCTTTGAGGATGCAACACAATTTGACGGTAGAAACGTAGGGAGGAAGGAAGGCTAGACAGGTGAGACAGAAGTGCAGGAACAGCTCAGGCCTGGGGGAGATGAAACTGGGCAGGTCTAGAGCCGGTGTGGGAGGGCTGCAAAGGCCTGGGTGAGGAGTGGGGGGCTCCATTCTTCTACAATGTGGCTTACAGAAGGAAACACTTGGTCAAAGCACCAGCCAGGCAGCAGGGGGAAGCTGTGCTGACGGGGAGGGCAGAGAGTGGCAGGGGAGCACGAGGCTGTGGTGAGTGCTCCTGCCACAGCTCTCCAAGGTCCCATAGGCCCCAGAAAGGAAAAGGACCCTGCGCCCCTCCTGCCAGGCTGTGACGTGGGTAGCCCAGCTCACTGCATCTACCTGACATTCCGGCCACTAGCAGGGGCTGGGAGGATTCACTCAAGGACCCTCCTATCAGGTTCCTGCCACTCTTGACATCAAGCTAGTGGGACTCACTGGCCCTAGATAAGGGGTTTCTTCTTGCAGAAGAAGAGCAAGCTAGGTCTGTCCCAAGGACGGTTTCGAGGGTCAAGAAAGAGCTCCTATGCCTAGGAATGAAGAGGGGGCTTGGTCAGGGAGGGAACGCTGTCACTAGGACTGGCTTTCCCCACAGGCCAGCTGCTACCCACCTCCTCGGCTCTGCAAGACACTTCCAGATGTGCTCATGTCCCATTTGCCTCCCCTCTGCAGACAGACGCTCTCCTCAACGCTCTGTTCTGCAAAACCCCCACAACTATCCCTAAGAAGGCAAAAGGGCAACTGAGGCAGGAAGCAGAAGGCACGCACCAGTGAGTCCCACACTCCTGATCTGACACCCGAGGCTTATCCTACTGCTCCTGGGGAGCTTGCCACGCCCTGCCCCCTCCTGGGTTTGTGCCCTCGTTGATATCTGTTCGCATGTGCTTTCTCCTTCCCTGGAGAACAGTGATCAGAACCTGTTCATATCTGGGACCCCACAGTCCCTACCCAGGGCAGCTACACGTTCCCTGGCTGAATGAAGGGATGTGGAGTTTCCTGCTGCGTGGTGGATAGGACAGGCTTGGAAGACAGGAGTGGAATGTAAGGAAGCTCCAGAAGGACACAGGGCCATGGATCCTCTCCCATGTCCAGGCCACAGCAGGAACACCTGCTAACATTTCTGGACCACTCCCTTTGAGCCAGGCCCAGGTGCGGTTCATTTGATCTTCACAGGAGCCCTATGAGATAGGCATCCGCACCCCCCCCCTTTTATTTTTTTGAGACGGAGTTTCGCTCTTGTTACCCAGGCTGGAGTGCAATGGCGTGATCTCGGCTCACCGCAACCTCCGTCTCCTGGGTTCAAGCAATTCTCCTGCCTCAGCCTCCCGAGTAGCTGGGACTACAGGCGTGTGCCACCATGCCCAGCTAATTTTTGTATTTTTAGTAGAGATGGGGTTTCAACATGTTGACTAGAATGGTCTCGATCTCTTGACCTCGTGATCCACCCGCCTCAGCCTCCCAAAGTGCTGGGATTGCAGGCGTGAGCCACCACGCCCGGCCTCGAAACCCCATTTTACAGATGCAAACAACCAAGGCACAGAGCAGTTATTTGTCCAAGGTCACATGGCTACTAAGCAACAAAGCTAGGACTCAAAAGCAGACTTGTTTGACCCCACATGCTATGTGCTTAGCTACTACCCACACTGTCTCCCAGGCCCCACATGTGTCTCATACCAGGTTCACCTAGGGCCCCTCCCCATTGTGCTCAGTTATCCTCATCCTAAAACGACTGTAGTTGTGGTTGAGGAAAGCCTTTTATAAAATTGCCAAATTGCCAAACACCAGGGATGTTGATTATTAATGATAACATGGCTAACAGCTCTCCTCCCCGTGAGGCTGGAGTTTCCATCATTTCCTTCCCACCCCCAACAGAATCCTCCATTTGCCATCCTCTCAGCCACACCTTCAGGTTGGTAGTGCATTCGCTTTCCCCCTCTACATCATGTCCTGTCCCATCCCGTTCCCCCTCCCTCCCCATCCTTCCTGGAGGCACCTCTAGCACCAATACCTGCCCATTTCCCCACTACAGTTTCCTGTAAATATCCCCTCTCCCTCCCAGCAGCCAGCAGTATCTTCCCCTGGGGACTGGACTGATTGTTTTGCAGACCATGAGGGGCAGGGTCTGGAATTCTGATTCCAGGCACACCCTTCTGCTCTGCAAATTTGGGGAGTGGATTCCAAGGCAACCTTGACATCCAGACACAGGAAAGCCTGTAGAAATACTGCATTTCAAAGAAGCTCTCTGATGATTCCAGTTTTGGGGATTTGGAAAATCCCAATTCCCAAGTTCCAGGCATACCCACACTCTCAAGATTCTGAGATAGTGATCCTGTCATTCTGATCTTGGATTCTAGTTCCTTATGGAAACTTCTATTTTCCACTTCCTCAGGCCATTCATATGACCTCAAACTTACTAATTCTGAAAGCTAGAAGTAGATTTAAAAATCTTTCCCCAGATAGGGCTGTAAAATTCCCAGAAATTTTGTGGGGAGAAAATGTTTTTATTAAAAATCCCGAATATGGGACAGGCGAGGTGGCTTACACCTATAATCCCAGCACTTTGGGAGTCCCAGGTGGGAGGATCACGAGGTCAGGAGTTCGAAACCAGCCTGGCCAACATAGTGAAACCCTGTCTGTACTAAAAATACAAAAATTAGCCAGACTGATGGAGGACGCCTGTGTTCCAAACTACTCGGAAGGCTGAGGCAAGACAATCGCTTGAAGCCGGGAGGCGGAGGTTGCAGTGAGCCAAGATCACTCTACCGCACTCCAGCATAGGAGACAGAGCAAGACTTCGTCTCAAAAAAAAAAAAAAATCCTAAATATGAAGGTATCTAAATATTTTTCTTTCTTTCTCTTTCTCTTTTTCTTTCATTCTTTCTTAAGACAGAGTCTAGCTCGTCTAGCTCTGTAACCCAGTCTGGAGTACAGTGGTGTGATCTCTGCTCACTGTAACCTCTGCCTACTGGGTTCAAGAGATTCTCCTGCCTCAGCCTCCCAATTACAGATATCCTCCACCACGCCCGGCTAATTTTTGTATTTTTAGTAGTGATGGGGTTTCATCACGTTAGCTAGCCTGGTCTTGAACTCCTGACCTCAGGTGATCTACCCGCCTCAGCCTCCCAAAGTGCTGGCATTACAGGCGTCAGCCACCATGCCCAGCCTAAATATTTTTATTTACTTTATTTAATTTATTTTTTATTTTATTTATTTATTTATTTATTTATTTATTTATTGAGACGGAGTTTCACTCTTGTTACCCAGGCTGGAGTGCAATGGCGCGATCTCGGCTCACCGCAACCTCCGCCTCCTGGGATCAGGCGATTCTCCTGCCTCAGCCTCCCGAGTAGTTGGGACTACAGGCACGCTCCACCATGCCCAGCTAATTTTTGTATTTTTAGTAGAGACGGGGTATCACCTTGTCGACCAGGATGGTCTCGATCTCTTGACCTCGTGATCCACCCGTCTCGGCCTCCCAAAGTGCTGGGATTACAGGCTTGAGCCACCGCGCCCGGCCGCAATTTATTTTTTAAAGAGTAGGACTGATGTAGCCAGCCTAAATATTTTTCATTCTCATTATTTTAATGTAATGTGCAGAGCAATGGTAACTTACTTGGCGCATTCTCTAAACTGTGACCAAGGTTTAGGATATTAGAGACGTCAATGCCCCAAAAGGCACAAACACAAGGTCTCTACCCCACCCTCCAGCACCATGTTTTTCTAGTTTTCCAGCTCACGGAAGCCTTTATACCTCCATTTCTTAGGCTGAGAGTGAGTGGATTCCTGGGCCTGAAGCTTCTGGGCTCGTGAGGTGGTCTGGGGAGGAGACGGTGAATTGCACAATGTCTGCTCGGAAGCTTGGGAAATTCCCAGGCTTAGGCTCTCCCCACAACCTGGCCTGTGGCCAGGCTTCTCAAAATTCCCATCCCCAGCATCACTGTCCCTAAACTGGGGCTTGAGGTCCTGACCCATGGCCCGTCTAGTAGTAGGAAGGGGACAGGGGCCCTCGGAGGCTTGTCTTCTTCCCTACCTCTCAGCATCTCTGGGGCTGAACAGTGCTTGCTAGTTACCACCTTCCCCTGGGGCCAGGAAGGAAGGGGTAGAGGGAGGCAGGAGGGCAGAGTGAGCTGGGGAGGGTCGATGCAGACAAATCACTGGAAAACCAGGCAGAGTCAGTTGCGTCAGATTTCACAGCGTGGGGCTTCCACATGGGCCAGGCTGGGGTTAGAAGGAAACAGGCAGGCTGGAATCCAACATGCTTGGGACTCTTGCTTGGGACAGAAGAACCTAACTCGACTGGTAAGGAGTTGGGTGCTGGGGAGTGGGACAGGGACGTACGGAAGGAGTTGGCGGTTTCAAACGTCAGACTGCAGGCGGTGGGAGGCAGTCCTCTCCGGCATTTGCCATCGGAGCCCGAGCACCTGCTGACCTCATCCCTGGACAGGGTCAGTCTTCCCAGCCCTGGCTCCTGCACTACCCGCCGTCCAGCCTCCTAGTCTCCAGCCCCTTCTGTAGTACTTTTCTCCAGATGCCCTCTCACGTCCCCTTCCGTGGCCAACCTGGCCAGCCTCTCCTATCCTCCTTCCCCAGCTTATCCCAATTCTCCAGCTCCCCAACTCTGTGGCCTCTTCAGCCCCTCCTCGATCCCTGTTCCCTGAGACAGAGCCCAGTCCCAACCGCCACGCCCACCCCTAGCCCGGGCTCCCGCCTCCCAGGCCCCTTTCCCAGCGCGCCCGCCTCCCGAGCCCGCACGCTTCGGAGCCCGGGCACTAACCCGATTCGGAAGAGTAGCCGCTGGCTGTGCGCCATGAGCAGGCCGCGGAGGCCCGGCCGCGCTCGGCAACCGCGAGGTCTCACGAGCAGGACGAGGACAAGGACGAGGAGCAGCCAGCTGCCGGCGACCCACTGCCACAGCGCGGGCCAGCCCTGCCAAGCCATGCCGGGGGCAGGCGCGCACCAGCGGGGCGGGGCTGGACGTTGCTAGGCAACGGCCTGGCGCCAGCACCCCCTCGGGGAACCTGACGGTAGGCTGGGGGCGCGGGGGCGTTGTGGCCCCGCCCCGCCCATTGACCTATTCTTCGGGCCCGCCCCCTCGCCACCCCATGCCGGGCAAGCACCCTGAAGACCCTCCAGCTTTGGGGGACGGCCTTGCCCCGCCCCCGGCTGGCGGCCAGGAGGCGGGGCCACAGCCGGCCGCGAGCCTGCGCCGATCGGGGTCGACAGTCGCCCGAGCCCTGGGAGGGGGCTGGAGCTCGCAGCCTGCCCCTCCCGCTTCCCTGTCCAGAGCGCTGCTATACTTTCTCAGCTGGCAGGAACTTGAGAGATCATCTGGGTCAGCTGCCAGTCATGGATTCATTCATTCGCCGAATGACTTTTCTAGCTCCTCCTATGTACTCGGCGCTCTGCCAGGCTGCGAGGAGGCTGCAAGGGTCAAAGGCACACCGTCCTCATTCCTAGAGCCCACAGCTCGGAATCTAGTAGGGAGACGAACCAAATAAGCAAGCAAACAAAATTATATCTGTTTACGCACACACATACAGATGCGCGTGATGACAAATTGTGGCAGGAAGTCAAGGAGGGGGCAAATGACACGGAGCACAGAGAGGGCCAGCTTAGGTGGGGGAGGATAGGAAGAGGCCACACAAGCTCTGGGGGAGCGACTTGGCCTAGGTTATGCAGCCATAGGTGGCACATAGGAGCCTAGGGCTGGGCATCCCCACTCCCAAGCCCAGGGCGCTTTCCACATCACTGTCCCCAGCCCCCTCACTGCTGGCCTCCTGACGGAGCTAGAAGTTGTTAAGGTCCCTGGAATGGAAGTAGGAGTAGGGCAGGCGTGGTGGTGGTGAAACCTACAAATTTAGGCACAGGGGCCGGGACTGGGCTGATTTTGGCTCCAGCTCTAGCTCTGGCCCAGGACAGGAAGGTAAGTAAATGTTCTAAAGAGTGAGTCAAGCTCGGCCTGGCGCAGTGGCTCACCCCTGTAATCCCACCACTTTGGGAGGCTGAGGCAGGTGGATCACCTGAGGTCACGAGTTCGAGACCAGCCTGACCAACATAATGAAGCCCCATCTTTACTAAAAATACAAAAATTAGACTGGCATGGTGGGGGGCACCTGTAATCCCAGCTACTTAGGAGGTTGAGGCAGGAGAATCACTTGAACCCGGGAGGCAGAGGTTGCAGTGAGCCAAGATCATGCCACTGCATTCCAGCCCAAGACTCCATCTCAGAAAAAAAAAAAAAGTCAAGCTCACCTCTACTGCTGCTGGGAGGTGCTGGGAGGGAGATGGATGAGGGATATGTTAAGTTATCTTCAAACTGAATTGTAATTCCAACACCTGAATCTGGGTTGAATCCAGAAAACCCAAGCAGACATGGAATCTCTCCTATGTGGGTACATCTTTTTTTTTTTTTTTTTTTTTTTTTTTTTTTTTTTTTTTTTGAGACGGAGTTTCGCTCTTGTTACCCAGGCTGGAGTGCAATGGCGCGATCTCGGCTCACCGCAACCTCCGCCTCCTGGGTTCAGGCAATTCTCCGGCCTCAGCCTCCTAAGTAGCTGGGATTATAGGCACGCGCCACCATGCCTAGCTAATTTTTTGTATTTTTAGTAGAGACGGGGTTTCACCATGTTGACCAGGATGGTCTCGATCTCTCGACCTTGTGATCCACCCGCCTCGGCCTCCCAAAGTGCTGGGATTACAGGCTTGAGCCACCGCGCCCGGCATGTGGGTACATCTTAAGGGACAGAGCCTCTGACCTGCTCCCTCCCTGTCTCCTCGCCTGTATTTAGGCTTCTTCTCAGCGCCTGGGGTATAAAGGGGTGGAGTCACAGAGGAGGCAGAGGAGTGAGGAAACTGATAAGCCAATTTGCAGATGACCGTTGTAGGATGCAGGAGTTTGTGTTTTTAAGTCTGTGTCTATACATGCAAAGTGAAGGATCATGGGGCATCAGCAAAAGTCATTGTGTAAACACCTTTCTGCAGGTAAGGCTGTGCCAGGCATTCTAGTGAGAAAGTAAAATGCAGTCCTGTAATCTGAAATAGGAAATGCATGCTCAAGCATGAACTTGCAGGGAACACAGAGATGACCGAATTCTAAATCTCAAGGCACACAATTAACAAGATGATAGATGATAAATCCGAGATACATTTGATGAAATATATGCAGTCATCCACGGCCTTGTTTATAAAAAAAAAAAAAAGAAAAGAAAGAGAAAGAAAGAAATATATGGAGTCAAGGCAGGACTGGGATGAGGAGTGAGGGTGTATGTTTTAGGGGACTCATGCAGGCCCAGGGAGCCGTAACTCCCACCCCTAGACTGTTCTGGAAAACTTCCAGTGTCTGCTACAAGTCAGCTTTAGTTTCATCTCCTCTACCATGATAATCTTCTATCCCAGGCTGGGCTCGGTGGCTCACACCTACAGTCGCAGCACTTTGGGAGGCCGAGGCGGGTGGATCACCTGAATTTGGGAGTTCAAGACCAGCCTGACCAACGTGGAGAAACCCTGTCTCTACTAAAATGACAAAAAATTTGCCAGGCATGGTGGCGCATGCCTATAATCCCAGCTACTTGGGAGGCTGAGGCAGGAGAATTGCTTGAACCCAGGAGGCAGAAGTTGCGGTGAGCTGAGATTGCACTCCAGCCTGGGCAACAAGAGCAAACAAAACACTGTCTAAAAAAAAAAAAAAAGTCCGGGTGCTGTGGCTCACGCCTGTAATCCAAACACTTTCGAGGCCAAGGCGGGTGGATCACCTGAGGTTGGGAGTTCAAGACCAGCCTGACCAACATGGTGAAACCCCGTCTTTAAAAAAAAAAAAAAAAAAGCCGGGCGCGGTGGCTCAAGCCTGTAATCCCAGCACTTTGGGAGGCCGAGGCGGGTGGATCACGAGGTCGAGAGATCGAGACCATCCTGGTCAACATGGTGAAACCCCGTCTCTCCTAAAAATACAAAAAATTAGCTGGGCATGGTGGTGCGTGCCTGTAATCCCAGCTACTCAGGAGGCTGAGGCAGGAGAATTGCCTGAGCCCAGGAGGCGGAGGTTGCGGTGAGCCGAGATCGCGCCATTGCACTCCAGCCTGGGTAACAAGAGCGAAACTCCGTCTCAAAAAAAAAAAAAAAAAAAAAAAAAAAAAAAAATTATCTATCTATCCTATCCAGGCTGATGCCTTATTATTAATCCTCATCTGCACTTTATACCCTAGAATACCTAACTACTTGTAGTTACCTAAACCTACCATATGGTTTCACACCCCCATGCCTTTGCACCTGCTGTGACTTCTTCGTGGAGTGCCATTTATCCTTTGTTCCCCAAAGACTCAGATTGGGTGTGGTCTCTCCAAGAAAGTGCTTCTTCAACCCTCCAAGCGCCTGCATGGGCTTAAGTATATCCTCTTTTGTGCCAACTCTGGGTCTTCTTCATACTTTTTTTTAAAAATAGAGACACAGGGTCTCACTCTGTCATCCAGACTGGAGTGCAGTGGCACCATCATAGCTCACTGCAGCCTCAGATTCCTGGGCTCAAGCAATCCTCCCGCTTCAGCCTCCTTGGTAGTTGGGACTCCAGGTATGAGCCACAGGACCTGGCCTGTATATTCTCAAATAGCTAGAAGAGCAGACTTTGAATGTTCCCAGCACAAAGAAATGATCAATGTTGGCTGGGTGCAATGGCTGACGCCTGTAATCGCAGCACTTTTGGAGGCTGAAGCAGGTGGAGGTCAGGAGTTCAAGACTAGCCTCGCCAACATGGTGAAACCCCATCTCTACTAAAGATATAAAAAATTATATCTTTATAATTGTTTATATCTTTAGTAGATATAAAATATCTACTAAAGCGGGGCGCGGTGGCTCACGCCTGTAATCCCAGCACTTTGGGAGGCCGAGGTGAGTGGATCACGACGTCAAGAGATCGAGACCATTCTGGTCAACATGATGAAACCCCATCTCTACTAAAAATACAAAAAATTAGCTGGTCATGGTGGTGCGTGCCTGTAATCCCAGCTACTCAGGAGGCTGAGGCAGGAGAATTGCCTGAACCCAGGAGGTGGAGGTTGTGGTGAGCCGAGATCGCGCCATTGCACTCCAGCCTGGGTAACAAGAGCGAAACTCCATTTCAAAAAAAAAAGATATAAAAAATTATCCAGGATATAAAAAATTAGCCAGGCATGGTGGTGGATGCCTGTAATTCCAGCCACTCGGGAGGCTGAGACAGGAGAATCGCTTGAACCCAGGAGGAGGAAGTTGCGGTGAACTGAGACGGCACCACTGCACATCAGCCTGGGCAACAGGGCGAGAAAATAAAAAAAGAAAAAGAAAAAGAAATGATCCCCAGCACTTGGGAAGCCGAGGCGGACTGATCACAACGTCAAGAGATCAAGACCGTCCTGGTCAACATGATCAAACCCCATCTCTACTAAAAATACAAAAATTAGCTGGGCATGATGGTACGCACCCGTAATCCCAGCTACTGAGGAGGCTGAGGCAGGAGAATCGCTTGAACCCAGGAGGTGGAGGTTGCAGTGAGCTGAGATCACGCCACTGCACTCCAGCCTGGCAACAGAGTGAGACTCTGTCTCAAAAATAAATAAATAAATAAATGATCAATGTTTGAGGTGATGGATATGCTAATTACCTTGATTTGCTCATTACACATTATACACATGTATCAAAATATCACACTGTGCCCCATAAACATGTACAATTATTATGTGTCAACTATAAACAGTAATAAGAGCAAAAAAGAATAGGGCCAAGGATTTGATTTATTCATCTTCAGCTCTCCAGTGTCTGGCATGATGCCAGGTACATTTTCTTTTTTTTTTTTTTTTTGAGACGGAGTTTTGCTCTTGTTACCCAGGCTGGAGTGCAATGGCTCGATCTCGGCTCACTGCAACCTCCGCCTCCTGGGTTCAGGCAATTCTCCTGCCTCAGCCTCCTGAGTAGCTGGGATTACAGGCACGTGCCACCATGCCCAGCTAATTTTTTGTATTTTTAGTTGAGACAGGGTTTCACTATGTTGACCGGGATGGTCTCGATCTCTTGACCTCGTGATCCACCCGCCTCGGCCTCCCAAAGTGCTGGGATTACAGGCTTGAGCCACCGCGCCCGGCTGCCAGGTACATATTAAATACAAATGTTCTTTGAAATGTCAAACTCCTAACCATATCCCACAAGGCCTCTGCT